AATTTTTTTATACCGACTCGCTTTGGAGGGTGCACATGAGCAACTTTAGCTCTAATGGTTATAATCTGACCAGGACACACCAACTTTGCATTGGATATATTCATAGTGGATGGTAGCTGTTGCTTTTGAAAGTCCACATCATTGTATGCGTTAATTACAACATCTCCCATCAGCAAATCCTCTGAATTTGAGCCAGATCGGTCAACACGATACTTCTTTATTTTGACTGGAGAGTCCTTCTGGTCAAGTTCAATGAACCGCTTTCGCTTGGGTGGTGAAAAACAGACTCCACGTACTGTTTTGCTCCTTTCTTGCAGTTGGAATTCAAAGTACTTTCCCTTTTTAATTGGTGATATATTGTGAAGATATCCTATAGCTTCAGGTTCAGCAATCGTACTGGGACTGGACTGCTCAATTGGCGATTTATCACACTCAGCATTAGCAATGAGACCAGGTCCACTCTGGCAATTATCAGATTCAGCATTGGTACCAGGTCCACTCTGGGAATTATCAGATTCGGCATTAGCAATTTCCCCAATTGGAGAATTATCAAACTGAGTAATGACTTCAAGAAGTTCATTGTATGCAGCACTGTTTTTCTGAGTGTCATCAGTGGTAATTATGTTTTCCGCCATCTCATGATCTGACTCATTATCCATATTGATATACTGCTTCCTATCAAAATAGACCAAAAAAATCAATAACTAATGCCTGGTTCACACTAGTTGTAATTCGTCTGGGATCTATTGTATTCTTTTCCGATAGACAAAGCATTTTACACAGCAATGACCACAGACAATGAAAATCCCCGATTCTTAGGACCAGTGTGAACCAGACTTAAAGCTTATATTTGCAACTGAATAGGATTATAGGAATGAATAAGGCTTATCTCTGCCATAGGCAGCCCAATAATGCGGGTCATCTAATCAAGGAATTTTTTTATCTGGCCTATGCATGACATGATCAAAGACTACAATTCTTCATAAACCTAAACAATATACTATATCTAACAAGTTTTCAAAACATCTATTCCAGTATAATTAAATTATTTTCACACCAATGTAGACAGCATCTAAATATTTATACAGTGATTTATACTATGAACTCAAATTGCTGATATATCATATTACTCTTGTTGACAGGTACTGTAATTAAATGAATGTACAAATTTTCCTTTTACACTAGCGCTGTTGCGCATCCAGTAATAAAGAAATTTGACAGTTGTGGCAGTTTGCGTTTTTGTTATACATCCTGTATTATACCATCGAAGACTCCCTTCGAAAAACTATAAATGTTTAAGGTGAACCTTACCTATTAGCTACAAAATTAGTTGTTCCAAGCACAGCACGAGGTCGACGTAGCCTGCGAACAGGCACTAATACGTAGTTTAAAAACACTTCCAATCACAAGGTGAAACATGTTTCCACTATGTACTTTTGAATTTTTAGAATTCAAAACAACAAAATTGAAAATTGGAACACAAATTACACGCCAAAAATAAGGTTTCTGCGGTTGAGGTCGCTATATCAAAATTCAATGTGGACTTTTATACTACATAATATATATTATATATATATATTATATATATATATACATGTATATATATATGTATATGTACATGTACATGTACATGTACATGTACATGTACATGTACATGTACATGTACATGTATATGTATATGTATAAACAATGCGCCCTCCTGTTTGTCTCCAAAGGCAACTTCTGCACTTCATTACAACTAGTAATTCATGTAGTATATATTTACTATAAAGTTTAGTATCTGTTATTAACTTAACGCACGCCTGGGCCAATGTGGTCACACGTACAATACAATAAAAACTTAACGTTATTGTTTACTGTTATTTGCGTTATAGCCAATGTTCAAAATAAGTCTTAGTATATACCATATAGATGCATCGTGCTGAGCTGTAAGCTTCAATGGCATGCAACATGTACGCACTGCGTACCTATTTTTTCAATCACTGGTAACATTGTTTTCTCACATCCAACAGTCTCTTTCCATTAGAGACCCACTTGATTTAGAGCATTGTAAGAGTAAGTTAGAACAAAGTATTCTAATTGTTTCGGCATTATTGCTGGTTGTAAATAGCAACACAGATGTTATAGTCAGGGAGCATGTGTACTCCCGTGGGAAATCACTGAAGAAAGCAAGCAACAATGCTAGTCATGTTCAGGGGACTTCAAATAGTAAGAAAAGTGATGTTGCCAAGTTTGTAACTTGTCCTGGACCAATTAAGGGGGTATTTTTAAAAAGGACGTCAACATTTTAGCACGAAAACGAGGCTGGTACCAAAACCATTAATATCTTCGCCGTTTTTAGACGAAATGTCATGAAACTTGCAACAAATAATCACCAAGACATGCAGAAGACAATAATCTAGTTTTTATGTTGTCACGTGACTCCCAACATTAAAACGAGGCTAGTGTCTAAATCATCAATATCTTTGTTATTTTTGAACGAAATGTCACGAAAATTGTAACAAATGATTACCATACTACACAGAAGAGAACAGTGTCTCTTTTATTTTGTCACGTGACCCCAAACACGAAAACGAGACTAGCATGTACCACGTGACTTGTTTATAAGTTAATTGTACTGTTATGACGGTTAATAGTTAGCATCAGACTGAATACATTTATATAGTTGTTCTTAGTTGCATAAGTCCATGTGTTATTACAATGTCTACAGTCTAATGATCATCTTGCTATTAAAAAACAATGGTGTCATTTTTTATTTTGTCACGTGACAAATCAAAAATTAACCATAAACCAAACGGGGAAAGTCCTTAGAAAGAAAACAAACCAACAAATAATAATAGATTATCACAATAATGACAGACTGTCTATGCATTTGAGAGTGCGACTTTGAAGACTGAAGGCTATGCATCAATGTTATTGCAGTATTGCTGGTCAGTGGTATTTTTCATTAAAACAGAAAGTGAAAGTGAGTGAGAGTGATCATTGTCATGACTTTTTTTGAAGTTCTGTAAGTACATATTTTGCGGCTTTTGTTCTCTTGATGTCAGCCAACGTACTCGATTTCAAATTGTGCATTTTGTGCCACAAGAATACAAAAGAACCTCTGGTAAAAAATCCAACGTCACATGAAAGATTGCTTCGATTTGTTGAAGAAAGAAGTGCGTATGGAAATCCTAACTATCGTGACACTTGGTTAATGCTACAACAATACACAGTACAAGACTTAACTCTTCAGAATGCAACTTGGCACAGGTCGTGCTACCAGGTTGTCACCAGTAAAGAAAAGTTAAAAAGAGCAAAAGAGCAATTTGAAAAAGATGGTGCCACAAGTTCTAAGCGAAAAAAGGAGGAAAGCAAAAAATTGACACGGTCGCAAACTTGCCCCTACAATAAGGAACTGTGTTTTTTTTGTGATCAAGCGGCTGTCAATAAAGATCCTCTCCATTCCGTCTGCACCGAGTCGGCAGGACAGTCAATCCGGTCTGCTGTAGAGATTCTGGGAGATGAAAGATTACAAACAAAACTTGCGACCTCAATTAACGCAAATGATGCTCATGCCATAGATGTCAAATACCATAAGAATTGTTATCTAAACAATGTCACAAATGTGCTACGAAGATCCCAGTACCAACCAAACGAGGATAATGGAGTGGCAGCTGGTAGAGTTGAGTTCTTAGATATCACCGAGAAAGCGTTGAAGGAAGGGAAGCTCTTGAATATGGCAGATCTCGAGACCCTGTATGTAAATGTGCTTCTTGAAAATGGTGTAGTAAATCCCACATGTTCCAGAAAAACACTGAAGCAGTTAATCTCAAGTTATGTTCCAGATGTTGAATTTCACAGACCGAAACGACTGAATGAACCTGAAAGACTAACTGTGAAGGAAACGCGGGATAACTCAATAATATCAAGCGAAGAAGACAGGTGCACCGAACCTGAAATGAAAGCTATTTATGATGTTGCAGCACTCCTTCGCAAGCGCATTAACCACAGCAAGAGTTGGACCTTCACCGGTCAGTTTGACGACCTTGATGCTGAACAGCTTCCCAAGGAGTTATATTGCTTTTTTAGATGGATTATACACGGACCAACAGGATTTGCATCAGGTTAGGGCATGTGTCATTACAATATTCTAAAGACATTGGGCAGAGTAGGAATATTCCAGTAATGAACATATGAAACATTTATAATGTTTTCTTTTCCTAGATGACAAGTTCAGTGAAATCTACAAGCGGGCAGTTACTCTGAGCCAAAGTACCATCTCCATGACCCTTACTGATCGCCAAGTGAAACACCGGAAGTCAGAGGTACGTCAAGTTTCACATCTTCCAAATTAATGACATTAAATTAGATGTATTTATTTTCTTTGATCAATGTTGTTCATAGGTAATTCGATCGACAAAAGAAATACCCCAACAACTTGCCATTGGTTTGGCAATACACCAGTCTATTAGGAGCAAAGCACTTGTAAACATGCTAAGTGGGTTTGGTATGTCAGTAGAATACAATCGTATTCTTCGAGCGGAATCTCAAATCCAGAAGCACGTAGTTCAGCGCATGAAGCAGAGCAATAACCTGTATATTCCTCCAGATGTTGTACCTGGGCGCCACATCTTCTTTGCTGTGGATAACGTAGATTTTTCTGAAGATACGCCTGATGGAAAGGGTACCCTCCATGGAACGGCTATGGCCATATATCAGAGGCAATACGACCAGGATGCTTCACCACAGCTCAGGTTATTTGTAAGAAAAAATGAATCCGTAATCGGGTTTAAACAACAGTTAACTTCCAACGCATAGACCATTTACTATTATAGCTAATTTACCATGTTGTTTATAGTATCAACTATAGCTTAACTCTATATGTGTTTCCTTAGATTGGATGACACAAATATTGCAGGCCGGAAAAGCGATCGTTCCTTAAAGGATCTCCCTAATACAACACTGCTAGAGTGCCCTAATCCTCAAGCGAACCCGAAAAGTCCTACATACCCCTCGTATAGCGTGAATGTGGAAGATCTAGCAATAACGGTTAAGCTTAAGGACTTTGCGTGGCTCATTGGACGCAGCTTAACACGGTTCCCAGCTCAAGATAGCGATGGCGAGATGACGCAATCTCAGGTGCCTGTCTGGTCCGGGTATAATTCTCTAGTCTATGAAACACAGCCCCTTACAAGAATCGGATCTCCGCCACTGATAGCAGCCCCTGCCCACGAATGGACTACAATGCTTACCATTCTCATGCAGGTATGTATTTAACCTCGGTCAAACGTTTGAGAAAGTGCACATGTAAAAGTTGTTAGAACTAGAGCCACTGAATATATTAAATCTGAAATAGGAAACAACAATAGCAGCCATATTCTCGTTTCTTATTTTGTAATTGGTCTGTATTAAATCTAAAGTATTCACAAAAATTGCAGGCCCAAGGAATCACTGCTCACGTCATGGGTCCGGGCCGAAAAACGGTCGTATCGTTGGACCTCGGCTTATACCTACCCGCTAAAAAGCTCCAGATGGCTCGTAATGATTTAAACCATCTCATTCTAAGGCCTGGCGAGCTCCATATTGTTATGGCGCAACTTAGAACCCTAGGTTCATTCATCGAACACAGTGGAATCGACTTGTGCTGGTCAGAGTCTGATTTGTATGGCCCAGCTACTGTCAAGCAAATCCTGGCAGGGAAGCACGTAAAGAGAGGAGAGACAGCACATTTGGTTACTCTTCAAGTCCTGTTTATGCTCTACCAGAAGGCGTTCCTCTCTAGCCAAGATGAAGAGTTGGTGAAGAAGATTGACAAGTGTGCAAAGCAGCTAGGAAAGGCGTGTGAACAAGGAAAAAATAGCGAGGTAAAAGAAGCTGAAGATCAAATGGTAGAAGTAATGAAATCTGAAGATTTAGTTGGCAAAATGGAACGATTTGAAGAAGGGAAGAATCCTGAGTTCAAGGTTTTCCGTTCCTACATGAAGATGATTATGGAGATGTTGCTGTTTGTACGTGCTGTACGAACAGCGGACTGGCAGTTGCATTTAAGATCTTTGCAGTTGTTTACGAAGTATTTCTTTGCGCACGACAAACTTAACTACGCCAGAATGATTCCCATTTATCTTGCCGAGATGGAAAACCTTCCCGAGTCAGCTCCTGAAATCTATAAAGAGTTCGCCGAAGGCAACTGGGTTGTGAACAAGAACCGACACGTACCATTTTGTGGACTTGGAGCAGATCATGCCCTGGAACACATTAATCGATCCATGAAGGTATCAGGAGGCCTAGTAGGCATCACTTTGAATCCAAGTGCACGTACCAAATTCTTCATGATTGCTCCAGAGCTCGCGCGTCTAGCAGAAGAGGCAAAGAAGATGGCTGGCAGGGCAAAAACGAGAGGAGGCGCCAAACACCACGCTTTGACGGCTGCTGGGCTCTCTCGTGAAGAGAAGAACATCACCAAGCTATTGAATACGATAGAAGGATTTACAAATCCCTTTACCGAGCAAGGTGACAAGCTATTCAATCTTGTGACGAAAGTGGTTGCATCGGAGAAGGTGAAGAAGGATCTTATAGAGCAAAGCGAGATTGGCCAGAAGCTCTATGATGATTTTGTTAGAGATCGCATCATAACCGGAAAGATCAACCTGTGGTCAAGTATGAAGAAAAGAAAGTTGCAGACATGGAAAGCGATGACCAAGAAGATTAAGATTTCAACCTCGGCCGAGACCATCGAACTGCAAGAAGATAGAAACTTGTTTGCACGCATGCTAATCATCTGTAAGAGCCGTCCAGAGATCGACATTCCAGAAGCTGTTGGAACATACAAATTCAGAGTTGTTCCACGATCGATGTTTACTGCTGATGGCACCATGTTACACTGTAC